CAAATTACAAAATAGTGACAAAGTTGTTTTCTGAATTGGTAATATGTTTATAGGATTTAATTTAAACAATATTTACATTCATCTGTGTTTAAAATTTTGACATAAATTGGTAAATAATGAACCAGTCTGACAATAGCTTCTGCATGTTCATGTACACATATAGCATTGCATATACATATAAATAGAAAACTTTCATATTCCTTACCAAAAATCTTATTTGATTGGCAACCTAAAACTTAAATGAAAAAAAAAATGTGAGTTTAGAGAAAGGTCAAGTACTTTGGGTCTACAAAAAATGTGAGAAGTTCTTAGAGGAGATGAGTACTGGGGTAACCTTGAAAGGATTCAAGAGAGCTTTACCAAGGAGGGAATGGTGGAGGCAAGGTTATAGTGAAGAAAGTGTGCAGTTCATTTTGGGACTTTGAGTGGAGGGGTTGTTCACATAAGGGGATTAATATATTAGGGCTAGACTGGAAGATGTTGACTGCTAGACTAATGTTTCTGTTTAAGCAAGTGATAGGGACTCCATGAGTGCTTTTGAGCAAGGGGTTGAATTGACTTAAGAGATATATAAGAAGGCTAAATCTAGACACAGAAGACAGGATGAATTGTTGTGTAGAAATAAAGTGAACATACCCATTAGGGAGACTATTTTGAGTAATCAAGGAATAAAGCAATTACAGCTTACATTGAGAGTGGTGGTAAAAATGGAATCTTTGATACTTTATTAAATTATGGCTATCTTCAGACTGCTGTTTGAGGGTATCTGCCTTTTGTTGGTATTACTACTTAAATGCACCTTGGTGATTAAGGAAAGAAAAACTACATAACTTAAGCTGTTGGTCAAAATTTCAAGAGAATACATTTCTTCTGTCTATACTGATATATTCAGCTATTCACAGGGCCACCACCCCCAGGAATAGCAAAATCTCCCTGAAATTTTAAGTATTAGTATTCTTTGCAAATGTTTTTAAAAAAAGTTAATTCAAATTTAGTGTCTCTTATTTATGGCAAACAGACTTATAAAGAAATGTAGCAGATGATAAATACAAAGTGGAGGACCAAAAATAAAATATTTTATTTCTTACATTTTGTATTTATAGTTTCTTAGTCAGTTTTACAATATGCCCAGCTAAATAATACTTAAACTCCTCTCAGTATAAATTTTCACCGTGATTTTTGTGGGTATTTTTCTAGCATTTTACATAAACTTTTAAAAAAATTCAAGCTTTTCATTGATGAAACTTCCCTAAATGTATTCATTTAAATGAATTACTTATATTTAATTTAAATGAACAAAAATTATTCCCTATTGTTTAAGTTGAGACACCCAATTTAAGAGGAAGGCAGAACATTTGAAGTGGACTTTCTTTGAAACACAGATTTGATATTGTTTGTGAGAATTTATCACCCAGTTGGTTGTTTTTTACCTTCACAGGATACTTTTTCCTATCATGAATTGATATAAATTTTTTATGCTTTATTTGTTAGGGTACAGGCTCATCTGCTAGGACAAGGAAAACCTCAGATTCTCAGTAGTTCAAACAAAATGGAATTTTATTTGTTTCTTATTTAAAAAATTAGATATAGGCAGATGGTTAAAAGTAGGAAAAATAGGTTGGTGGCTCTGTTTCAGAAGGTCATTGAAGAATGCAGGAATTTTTAAACTGATTTCTTCACTATCCATTGTGATTGGTGTTCAGTATCCTGTAGCCACACAGGACTATTGACATTTAGATTTAAATTTAAAATTTAAAAAATTAAATGTAAAAAAAATCACTGTACTAGCTGTATTTTAAGTCCTCCATTAGTTACTTGTGACTAATGGGTACTGTTTTGGACAGTCCAAATAGAACACCACAGAGTGTTCTGTTAGCCAGTTTTGCACTGTTCCTGTCTTCATGGTCTTTGCTGTTTCATACTAGCCTGTCCAAGTTCAATCTATGGGAGGGGAATGAGATGAAGGGGGAGAGGAGGGTGCACTTTAGTTATAAATGATCCAAAAGATGTACATATCATTTCTGCTTGTAACCTTGCGGCCAAAGTTTAGTTATATGTCCATGTGGAAGGGCAGCTAGCAAGTCATTAGCTAGGTGGATTGTACCCTGGTAAATCAAGGTTTAGGTGGGGTTAGGGTGCGAGCCAGGGATTCCATTGCCAAAGGGAAGAAGTTGAGAATAAGCATCAGAGGAAAATTGGCAGTCTAGGTCATATGTACTGAAGATGTTCATAATTGCAGTAAGATTCCCCTCACCCCCCAACAAAGTAGCCAGGAATTCATATGGGTAATTACGAATGTTTCTTAATTTTAATTGTTTGTGCTGAGATTAACATGAAAGTATAAGCATTTCTTACTGCTTTATTTGAATTCTAGTACTTCTTAAAGTTTTAACAAAAGTAACTTCATGGCCATTTGGACTGAAATATTTTTTGAGCATGTTACTTTATTCTCTGAAGTATTGCCTCTGAAATTGTGGAATGATAATAATCTTATGTTGCTGTGATTATAAGATATAAGACTAGAGCTCTTATTTCTGATTTCATAGATATTCAATAATGATTTGAACATTCAGCTAATGATTAGCACCATGAAGTACAGAAAACACTTGTTGGTTGTTTAGTTGTCCTTTTTTTGTCTCACCCAAACCCCTCTTTCTCGCTCACATGCTCTCTCAGGGTTTACACTGAAATGCAAATAGTCTTTGCTATCTATTTCCGATTCCAAGTCTTATTCTTTGAAACAAACATTTTGATCATGTTTACACTTCTGCCCTTCTAAATAACATGTCTGTATTATTTCTTGATTTGCTAGTTTTAGGAATCGTATACTGATTGTGAAAATAAAAAAGGATTTAGCTTATATACTACTTTCTCTCTTCTTTCATTATTTAATTCTCTCTTTCCTTTGCACCCAAGGATTTATCTTTTGACTCTCAAGTTAGGAATTACAGATTTTGTGATTATCCTTCCTCCTAATATTGGTCCCCTTTCTATGTTCCACTTTTTGTAATCTTTTCCTTTAAATAGTAATGTTCAGGAAAGATCCTGGAGAACAATATTGGCCAAAAAAAAAAAAAAAGCAATGGTTATGGTTAAGTATATTTACATTAGTTTCTATAACTATAATGAAGTCTTTTAGCATTTTGTCTTGCTGGAATCTAACAAATTATAATTAGTAAGCAGTTTATTTTTTATGATTACATAAATATTTTTCACTGAATAATTTATAATAGAATATTTATAGTCTTTCAAAAGTCTTTTAAAGGACTTTATTGTTTATAATTTAGTGTAAAATCTTCTCTTTCCTCTTTGGTTTTTTCATTTAAAAAAATCCCCATAATCTCTGCCAGTGTGTATCCATCATACTCTGTTCTACAGATTTTGCCTTTTTGCCAGCTGTCACCCTCCTGGAGCCCTCTTTCTCTTCTAATCGATTTTGTCAGCCAGTGTTCTTTTAAGTACTAACTATACGTTCTCATAAAAGTTGTTAAAAATTTGCTTTAATTAATGATCTTTCTTGTTCTTTTTGTAACTGGAATTTCATACTTTAAAAAATTTTCTTTATGTTTTATTTTTTTTTTAGTGAATAGAGGGAGAATATAAATGCATGTGCTCTTCTCAACTTGAATCTGTTTTGTAGAGGCATTCAGAGTCAGATGCTCATGTATCTGAACCTTAGTCATGATAAACCATGATAAGCTCTCATGTTCAAATTTTTGGGAGGTAGGCAGTTGAAGGCATTTATAGATATAGTTGGAAAAAATTAACCATATAGTCACTGATATTATTACATAAATATACATTTTTTTCTAGAATAATATTTGCCTTTTTTTCTAAGACCCTAAATTATTTTTACAGATTTTGATGAAACTTCTATTTCTTGGTAGATTCTTTTTATTTACTTTTTATACCATTGTTAGATATATACACTTTCTTCAGATCTAGATCTATTTTTTCGTTATAGTGTTCTATATCTTTATTGTCCAGCATTTATTGGAATTAACCCATTTTACTATTATACTTGGTCAGTAACTAAATGGCATATAGTGATGTCATAAAATGTCGCCTAGGTTTGGAGGCTAATGCTACTTCTGAACTCTAATAGGTCTTACCAGCAGTCTGGGTGATACATTGTTCAATATTCTTAGGCTACTTTTTATCTCTACAAGAGAATAGTATTGTAAAAATGTCAAAAAATATCCACATGCCCTGTTCACTAGTAAATATACTGCTAAATCTGAACCATTTTGGCAGTAGCTTATGCTACTCAAGGGACCATATTTTTACAGAATGATATATTTCAAAAGATATTGGTTTCCATTGTAGAAAATTGATGCATTTAGAGCAACTTAAAGCAAAAACAATTGTGATTGTGTAATATGTTTAAAATATTAGTCATCTTGAATACATGCCTAGGTTAAGTGTCAGAAGCTATATATCGTACAAGAAGAAAATTTACTGTTAGGAGACCAGCTTGTATATGTGCTTATATAGCATTTTCCTTAGAGGATCAATTTGAGTATATGAACTAATATCAGCCAGATTTTTGTACAGTAACATAATTGATAACAAAAGAGAGGTTCATTGAGGAGAAAAACAAATAAAAGAAGCATAAATGTCTCATGCTGTATGAAACTACAGAAATGGATCAAAGAGTTTGACAGGAAGTTAAATGTGTACATAAGTAGAGGCTGACAGAAACATGCTGTGTGTGCTAAAGGTTCCAGTGATGGAAAACCGAAACATAGTGCTCACTGACCACAGCATGAGCCTTGACACACATTGTAAATAATCTGGAGATCTATGACTGCATTAAGCTGGTGTATTAACGGCAGTAAATCTATAGCAGCAGAAAGGGTTGGCATACAGAAATTCCTCGGATTAATTTTTATAATTGATTAATAGTAACATAACAAATATTTTCATTTCAATCTTACAATCTCCACCCCCCTCCAGAGCTTACCCCAGTCTGATTATTTTTACTTTTTTCTCCTTACCAGACTAGTATCTGTGGATAGTTGCTTCAGTACCATCAAGTTAAAAGCAGAAGATGCTTCTGGTAGAGAACATCTAATCACTGTCAAGTTGAAAGCAAAGGTATGTGCCTTGTCTAATTGTTACTGTGGTCAGGAAATACTTTGAGAAATAGACTCTGAATATTTTTAATGTACATAAATAATGCTTTAAAAAGTGGATTTGAGAAAGCATCAGAGAATTTATTCACCAGGTTTCCAAAAGCCTAGATATAATTTCATGTCAAAATTTTAGTTTAAATTTGATTAAATTATAGACTTAATAATAGAGAAATATTACAATTAAGATTCAGTAGCCTCTAAGTACCGTGGTGTTATTTTTGTAGCATCCTACAAAGACTAGATTCTTACATGCTCTCTAGTAAAGTTTTGAAAATGCCTTTTGCTCTCAATTCTTATGAATTACTTTTGTAGTTCTTGTCACTGACTTGTCCCAACCCCCAAAGCAGACATACCTATATACATATTTCTTATTGTTTGTTTATTTCCTTTGGCCAAAGCTTTTTGGCATTTGTATATTAAGAATTTTCAAAGGTTATGTGTTTGTAGAGTCCTTATAGGCTAGTGATCTGTAACTATTCACCAATTTATTGGCACAAAACATCTTTCCATTTTTGTCTTTATTTTTAGTCCTAGATTGTGAATCTTAGGAAATAAGTACCATAAGCAAGATCAGTATATTAATCATTTACTTGGTAATCACTGGGAAAACATTAGAATTTAAAGAAAACCAGGACATCCAACCTTTTTTTTATTGTTTCCAGTAGTCATCAATCAATTCTATTTTGGAAGATTGTAGTGATGAAAAGATCAATTGTGTTTGTCCTTTTTAAAAAATGTGTCTGGCATTTAAGCTTCCCACAAGAGAAAATTAATATATAAAGCTGTACTGGATGACACAGAAAAGTTGATATCTTATAGTGGTGCTACATCAGACAGTTTGAGAAATGACTCATTCTCTCTTCCTCTCACACACAGAATGCTTAGATATAATTTTGAGACCCATATAAGTGTCGAACAAAATTAGTGGGATAGAAACCTTATTTGTAAAAGAAATTAGATAGTTATTTTCATTAAAATAAAAATAATTTTGTTTTCCTTTTAAGTTTTTAAACGTATGCTTTAAGATCTGCCTTTATCCTTTTAAAAGATCACATACTGCTAGTGGCAAGAGTTCTTTCATTTTCTGCAAAACACTTTGTTTTTATTTTGTACATTGATAAAAAGTTCCCTTATTGCTCTGAAGACCAAAATTAAAGATTTTAAGTATATCCTGTCTTCATTTTTATAAACTCTTATACTTACTAAGAAGATAATGCCTTAAACATACACTGCCTTTTACGCTTGAAGGTTTTATGATTGTCCTTATTTACTTTTTATTAATGTATTAATTGTACATATTAATCGGGTTCTGTGTGATAAGAATATTAATCTCTGTTGAGAACACTTACATGGTCCATTTTGTCTGCTTTTTCTTACATCTTTTTAAGGTATATTAGGTGATTCTTTTAACATTTTCCAGGAAATATTTTCCAGTGTCAGTTTGCAACATTTTTTTCTTTTTAACAAATATACATTTTATTAGTTTTTAGTTTTTAGTATATTAACAGTGAAAAAATTGCCCTTACTTAATTTTAGAACATATCTATCATTCCAGGAAAGAGTTTCACTTCATAAACAGACTCTCATTAACCCTTCCCCAGCTCTTGGACACCACTAATATACTTTCTGGTCCTATTTATTTGCTTATTCCAGACATTTCATATAAATGGAATTGTGTATATAGTCTTTTACTCCTTTTTCTTGGAGTAATGTCTTTAAGGTTCATATATGTAACAGTGCTTCATTCCTTTTTAGTTGCCGAATAATATTCACCTTATAGATACACCACATTTCATTTCCCCATTCATCTTTTGTTGCAACATTTGTTCCCATATTTTGGTTATTATGAAGAGTGTTTCTGTGAACATTTGTGCACAGGTTTTGGTGTATGCACAAGTTTTTCATTTCTCTTGGTTATATACTTAGGAGTGAAATTGCTGGGTCATATGATGACTATTTTTTAACATTTTGGAGGACTTATAAAATCTTTCATATAATAGAGCACCAGTTTACAGTTCCATCAGACATATTCAGGGACTCCAATTATTCCATGCCCTCACTAACACTGGTTAAGGATATCTTTTTATTTTAGCCTTCCTGGTTGATGTGAAATGATTTCTAGTTGTGGTTTTGATTAGTTTTGCAACATTTATAGTTATGAAGCTCTACTAGCAAGAAAGAAGAGAAAACTTTGAGCTAGGAAGATATTAGGGAAAAAAGTGTTTATTAAAAAAAGTTAGGATGACAATCTTATATTGTGGTGATTTGTTAGATTCATTATTTGCCTGTTTAGTTGAGCATTATAGAGGCCAAAGTTATCTTTTTTAATTTTATTTTTAAAAATTTTTAGTTGTAGTTGAACCCGATACCTTCATTTTAATTTTATGTAGTGCTGAGGATCGAACCCAGTGCCTCACACATGCGAAGCCAGTGCTCTACCATTGAGCCGCAACCCCAGCCCCCAAAGTTATCTTTTATATGTAGTAATTTCTGTTTTTTGAGGACTATTTGGGACTGGGATTGACAGTTAAAAAAGAGGAATAGCTAAAACTATTTGTTCAGAATACGTGACAAAGTTTTCATAAAATCTAAGTTTTAAACTAAGATTTTTTAAATCAATTTTTAAAAACTTTTTTTAAAAACAAACCTTAAAGCAGGATTATTTTTCTGAATACACAACCTTTATTTCTTTGATTTGATGTATATATGTATTTAAAATATATTTTTTTCTTGAACACATTCTCTTGTGATTCAGTCACTGCTCATCTCCAAAAACCCACAAAGAATACTAATTTGAACTAGACAATTCCTCTTAAGAATAAATATGTAAATCATAAAGGTGTAAAATAAGGAATTTTTTTGTGTTTTTAGATATATTTATGTAGTACTTATAGTGCATCCTGTATTATGGGATGGGATTATCTTTTCTGTACAAAAAATGTATCTTAGAGCTTTCTCAGCTTCTGCCAAGATCAGAACTACTTGGGGGGAAAAAATCACAGATGTGTATCAGAAGCTGGGCATTTTGTCTTTGTTGCAATATGTATGCTTTCACTTGCAGGGGGTAGCCTTGTTTTTTAGATGGTCTGAACAGAACAGATTTGGTTAAGATTTTTCTTAGAATAATATATTAAAGAGTCTATAAAAAATATCATGACTATAAGTGCATATTATATGTACTTAATATTGTGGAATAATTTTTTGTAATTACTGATTTGGATTGCTTCAAGGGAGATTTGAAGAGCTTTTTTTAATTAACACACATTAATTGTACAAATGAATGGTTCTACTGTGACATTTCCATACATGCATATAGTGTGCTTTGATCATGTCTCCCCTCTTTTACTTTCTCATATCTCCCTTCTTTCTCCCATATTTTTACTTAAAAATAATTAAATACTAATTATTTAATTAAAATTTATTGTTATGGAGCATTTGTTATCAAACTTGTAAAATGGAAAGTTTTGACAGTTTCTGGTGGTTTTTATAACTTAACTCTTAAAAACTGTCTTAATTTTGGTCAAGCTGATTTGTGACATTATATATACTACACTGTACTTAGTACTACTATAGTTCAGACTATTTTGAAAATGAATATCTAGGATGTTATTTCCTATTTTAATAATTCATAATAAATCCCCAAATGCACATAAATTTGCTCTTTTTAAGTTTTATGTAATTATGTAAAGTTTATTATGTAAATAAAATCACTCTTAATTTATGAATACAATTAACATATAAAATATACCTGTATTCAACTTTAATAGATATGTATTAAAGCCACCCACATATAGATTAGTACAATTTATTATATACATGTTATTATCTTTGCATAAGTATAATATAAAATATATTTGAAAGATGTTATCCTTTCACAGATGACACAATAGTCATTATTGTATTTGGGATAATATTTATTATAACCTGCTTTTTTGTTTAACTCTTTGTGTATCTTTTTCCATATCTGTGCATTTGTACCATTTGCTGTACTGAGTCTCACTTGAATGTAGGATTTTATTCTCTTTTAGCATAATGAGCTATGAATGTATGTATTCAATGACTTCAAAGGCCACAGATATTTTACTTGATATATTTACTTAGAATATAGTAAACATTTCATTAACTTCTTATTGTATATTGACAATTTATTTATGTTAGAGAGTTGATCTTGTTCATTATTAGCATCTCTGGGAAAGAAGTAGCAGCAACCCGAAAGTGAACTAAACTTTCTATTTTGACCCAAGGAGATTTTAAGTGTGCATAATTTTTTAAAAAAAGAATCATCACATTTTAGAGGGAAATGAGATTTTGTAATACTGTTGAGTTTTATCAGTTTTACTTGTGAAACAGTCATTGAAATTAAATAACTCTTCCAAGGTCATATTAGCTAGTTAATAAAGGTGGAACCAGAGAGACCTGAGGTCCCTACCTGCATTTACTTTGAGATATTCATGACTTTTTAATGTAGTGTACACATTGTTTTTCCAGTGATTATAGCAATTGTGTTCTGATATAATAATATCACCTTGTGATATTTTGAATTGTTTGAAATAGACTTCCTTATCTCAGCCTGATCATTTTTCATTTCACAGAATTTAAGCACTGTAATATTTTTATGTGGTTTTCTATGTGTCTCTGTATTATTAGTTTTATATAACCAGATAGTATACCACTTAAGGTTAAGGGGTGCTTAACCATTGAGCCACATCCCCATCCCTGTTTATTTTTTATTTTGAGACAGGGTATTGCTAAGTTTCCTAGGTCCTTTCATAAGTTGTTGTGGCTGACTTTGAACTTGAGATCTCCTGCCTCAACCTCTACTGAGATTACAAGGGTATTCGCAGCAGATACTGTTTATTTTTAGCCAACTGATCATTATATCAAAATGTTAATTTTTGAAAGCATCTGCTTTGTGCTGGTGTTTGTTAAATATTATAGTGATGATTTTTTTATCCCCTTTGGCTTTTCCAGTGAAATACTGAATAATAAGATACTGAAAAACATAAAGGTCTGAATTAACTAAGTTTGTTAAATGAAAGTTTTCCTAAAACGAATTTTCTTTTAGTAAATTTAGTGTTTTAATGGAAAGAAATGAGTGCTTTTAATTATGTGACTTTGAAGATTTCAGAATAGAATTTTATTATAATCCTCTGATTTTCTAATAAAAAATTAATTTTAAGAAAAAATATCTTTTGTCTTTGTCAACTTAGAAACCTGATTTTTATCTATTTGCTAAAAATACTTGTTTTCATATGGAAAATTCATTTTTTTAAAAAAAATTTTCTTTTAGTTGTATATGGACTCAGTGCCTTTATTTGTTTTTATGTGGTGCTGGGATAGAACCTAGTGCCTCACACTTGTGAGGCAATTGCTCTATCACTGAGCTACAACTCCAGCCCAGAAAAATCATTTTTTTAAATTGATAGTTATGTAGTCATTTTTATGCATATCTTGGTTCTTTTATCACATTGACTATTTAAATGTTACTGAAGCTATTTGAGTTTAAATTTTAGACTGGAAGGAATTAAATATCAACTATTTTGATTCTGTATTTTAAAGATAAAATGAGATTCAATGTGAATCACTCTCAGATCATAACATTAGCAGCTATCCTGACACTAACTTAGTTCATTTTTCTTTGCTTAACATTGACTGTTGTGGCACACTAAATCACCAAACTTTGTACCTCATGAACATATGTTGACTGTTAATGAACTCTCCATATCACTGTAATAGTAGAATAAAAATATTTATATTTAGTGCATTTGCAGTTGTATTTTTCCTAGTATATTCAATTTTTTCCAAAATACCTCAAGTGAAATTGTCACAGAAAGTCAGAAATGACCAAATTTTATTCTTTTTCGTAGTATCCCGCAGAATCACCAGATTGTTTTGTGGATTTTCCTGTTCCATTTTCTATTTCCTGGACACCACAGGTAAATTCTTAAATTTATTTTAAGTAACTAAAAACTATATTTTTTTAAGTCAAGAAGCCATTATAGGTTTTAAAGTGATTTATTTTCCAGTTTTCCTAGAGCATTCTTTTATAAACAAGCCTTATACAACGCTTTAGTTATATTTTCTAATAGTTAATGTCCTTTATTTCCTTCTTTCTCTGCACACACTCACACACATTATTCACCCTCTAGATCTTTAAGCTTCATTTTTCAGTGAACATGCAGAAACCCTCTTGACATCCATTTTGTTTTTTAGTTTAAATACTAAACAACCATGTAGAAAACAATACGCAGTAAGTGTAAAAGTGAATGGAAGTTTTTATTTTGCTACAATTTTTAACGTTGATGATATTATATCAGAATCTATATCATAGGAAAGTAAAAATAAAAACCCAGATATTTGTACTCAGTTTTCATGGTTTTAAAATGTTTGACTTGGTTTATCCTTGAACTTAGATTATGTATTTTCTTTTTTGTATGTTTTCATATATTCATATGAAGTAAAGATAATAGAAGATTCTCCTGCTTCTGTTAATTTAGTTTCTCAGTACATTGGTTATATCTAACAAGCTGATGTTTTAGAAGTCTGTTGTAAAATGTACATGTAGTCACAAGGTGCTTTGGATTATTAATAGTACACTCACAGAATTTCATGTGTGATTTTTAAATAAGTGGCAGAATATGGTTATTAAAGTTTGCAGGATAGTCTAATAGACATTGGCCTTATCTCACCAAGTGAATTGTGATAGTTGATAGCAAAAAGGAGAAAATGTTTCTATTCTTAGGCAAAGAGAAAATGAAGAGTGATATTTTATGAATTTTCTGTGAATGGAAGCTACCCATTTTTTTGGTTAGCAAAATTTGGTTAGGTTCAAGTAAAAGTTGATACATATATTTTAAACTATACATACATAAAAGTAATTATAAGTGAAATTAGTTTTAAAAAGTTTTTAAAGTTTAAACAACATTTAACAGGTTTTAAATAGTCTTACAAGTGTCCAAATATCACTTTAATTACACACATTTGTCAAAAAAATTACTGTTCTCATTTTTTTCTTTAAAAATAAGTCCTATTTCTCTCAGGGGAAATTGAGAAACAGCAAAATAAAGGAGAGGAAGAAGCCTTTGAGTTACTTTGGGTATTTGATATATGTTATAATTTATTAAAATTTTTTTCCAAAATTGAATCATGTATACATGATTGTATAACTTTGAAATACATGTTTTCTATTTGGTTCTGAAAGCTTTATCTTTCTGTTTTAAGACGGTGAGATCATGAGAAAATATTATATCTAGATTTTATTACTCTTTCCAGATATTATCTTTAAGTCACAAATTAATGTTTATCACAGTTCCAAATTTGAAGAACATAGTTTTGATGAGTTTTTTAGTGTTGTTTTAAAATGCAGATAACTGTACAAACTTTATGGAAAAGTTTGTATCAAATCAAAGTTAGTTTGTGACTGCTAGATTGGAATATCTTTGAGGGCAGTTTCTTTTAGATTTTGTATCCTTACTTAATACTGGTTCAGGGCCTTGTATATATAAGTTTGGGGTGCCTATAATAATAATTTATACTCAAGGTATTGATTTAATAGTTATTAGTTCTTTTTGCAGTTGTGCTAAGGAAACAAAATTGATTAGTAACTGGAATATCATACATTTTTTCTGAAGTTATAAATACACTGATATTGTTAGCAAAATACAGATAAAATTACAGTGTTTTTTAATCCATAATTTAAATTTCACAGGTATTAATGTTTTTCACACTTGCTTCAGATATATCTCTAGTTTTTTTTCCCCCCTCTCTCTTTGATAAATAAAAAGTTCTGGGAACAGCACAGACCCCATTACCTTTTCAGTCCTTTCTTTCCTATTTGCTTTTCTGCTAACGAGTTATCTCTTTTCTCTGGAATTTAATTGATGTGTATGCTATCCTTACAGACTTTTTACTATATTTAAAAACTGTATTTGTAGTTTGATTTTTTATACAATATTGTTTCAGTGACTTATCCATGATTTTTGTGTGCCTAATACATTTTACCTTAAAATGCTGTATATCATTCCATTATGTCCATCAACCAGTTAATTTAGCCATTGCCCTATTGATAAGGTTATTCACAGTTTCTTACTAGCAGTCCACAATGAAAACTTTTACATGTTTCCTGGTACATATATGTTAGAATTTTTGTATGGATTATTCCTAGAAGTGAAAATGCTGAATTGTAGGAAATATACTGCTGAGATTACTACTATTCAGCTATGTATAGTAATCTTACTTTCCCAAATCTTTTCCAAGTGTTATTATGATCTTAGTTAAACTGACTTTAATTCTTTATCAAGAATTGATAATCATTATTATTATGTTCATAGTCTTTGCTTGAGCTTTTTTTTTATTCTGAGCATTCTTAATTTATTTTGAATCCCAGTGCTTTGTTGGTTATGTGGAATGTAAATATATTCTCCCTATAGCATATCTTTTAACTTTGTATATGATATATTTTATCATACAGAATTTCACACGTTCATTGTGGTCAAATGTATCAGTCTTATCCTTGTGTTTTCTGCCTTTTCTGTCTCAGGAAAATCATATCTTTTTTTTTTGAAAAGGTAAACTCCTATGTATAATTTGTTCTAAAAGTTAGCAGTTTTCACATTTATTTAAAGATGAGGTAGCAATCTGAAATTATCTTTGCATATATTATATATTTATATACAATTTAGAAATATCTTCTTCATTAGTGCAGGTATGGGAGTAATTTTAGTTTTTCTTTTACATATAATATTAAAATTTTGAATGTTTAAAAATATTTATCAATAAGAGTCTAGCTAAACATCATAAGGATTTTGGTAATGGTATTAGCAGTATGAACTCCGAGTCTTTTAGTATGATGAGGTTGGCAATATTAGTTAAATATATTTAAATGTAAGAAGCAGTATGAGATGACTTTGCTTATGTGTTACCCTTGCTTACTGACTCACCAGAAAACAATTCTTGTGGGTATTTTCAGTTTTAACCATTTTTAAACAGTTGTGGTTTTTATGTAGCATAAATGTTACCATTGTAATCTAATAGTAAAGTTATATTTAAGAGACTGTAAATAGGCTTCAGATAATTGATTTTAAAAATCATTGTCTGCTTTTGTACATTTTCTCTTTGGATTCAGTGTTTCTGGACTTTACACTTGGAAGATCTTTATTTTCTTTTCTTTTTGTAATATAATAGACATGGCTTTGTGGCATCCATATTAAAAATGGGTAATTTTCCTTATGGTCCCTGTCTTCCTGCTGAGTTGATAATGTTTTGATGTATTTTTCTTTTGCTCTGATGAGAGGTCTGCTGCTGCTGCTCTGACATATTCATTTGGATGAATAATTATAACTTGCACAATGTCAAGCTGAAGATGGTAGGGTTTTGTGCGTCATGACAAGCCTAGTAGCCAGTGCAGGTGTCTCACAGCATGATCAGCAACAGCCAGTGTATTCTGGCTCAGAGGAGACATTTAGAGTAGTAAGAAATCAGCACCAAGGGCAAGGCTGCTGCTACTATTGCTACTATGATATGTGCCAAAGAAACACAAAGTGCTTCTCAAAGACAAGTGTCTAGATACCTCTTTAAAGATATTTATTTTATTTGTTTACCCAGTAAATTCTCTTTTATAGATTTTAGCACAGAATGTAAGAACATCTCATGGTTTTTATCTTCATCTACTTCCTAACATCACATGTCCCCTAAGGTATATCCTTAAAAATCTGCTACCTTTAGAATTTTTACATTCAGGTCATATATGTCAATAGTGTTGACTAATGAGATTATAGAATGTGCTAATGTCAAATTATAAATGCACTGATAATGTGATTAAATAAAAATGAGATCCATTTTGTCCAGATCATTGATCAAGCAAAAATGGCTGCTAAAATTGCAGTTCTACCTGTAAATATGCTATTAGGTACAGATATGGTGGAATATCCTTGCCACAGGCAGTTGGGATTTTCAGATCTGGTTAATGCAATAAGCAGTAGTATTTATATTTTTTTTATCATGGAAATCTGATATTCTTGGAATGGTGCCATGAATGAAGAAGAGCAAAACTAATGATAAAGCCTCTGGCTGATAATCTGATGGTGAATGAAGAATTTGTAATTAAAGGAAACAGTACTATTACATAGCAGGGAGCATGATCCATTAGTTAGAGCAGCACACTAGCAGTTGGATATGCTTGGTTCTGTTTACAGTTCAGCCATTGACTTAATTGTATAATTTCAAACAAGTCACATGACTGTCCTTTGCCTCAGTTCATATGTATGTGAATCTTTTTTCTCTCTCACAGATATGTTGAGAAAATTAAATTTGGTTAATAACAAATCCAATGTCAGGGGTACAGACAAACAAAACTTAATTTTTCACTGTAAGTAACCTGTGTAAGTTCTTGTGAACAACAAGATTTTAATTCTTGTTTTTTTTTCTTTGTTTTTGCTTTCTCTGTCAGAGAACTCAAGTACTGAATTTTTGTTCATTCCTAAATTGGTTAATTACATATGCTTTTGCTTTCTTGGCAATCTTAATTGTTGTTGCCATAGTGGTGTGGATAAAAAGGATCAAAAGAAGAAAAGTTCATTATTGTGATTATGTGATATGATAGAAAAAATATGAGAGAAGGAATAATGGGTTCTATTAGACTCAGTCTATAATTAACTGCCTTTCTTTTTTTTCCTTTTTCAATAACTTATGTATTTTAAAAATATTCTGCATTAATTCTAAAAGAGAAGGAAAAAAGAGGGAAATGTTAGCAGTCAAAATTAAGAAAACAAAAAATCACCTTTTACACCTTATTTAGAATTGGAATCTTATTGTATAATAGTTTCAAAAACTCTTTTATTATTTAGCAAATTTCATTTTCAAAATATTATTGATAATATTGTACATGTATTATTCCAGATAATCCTTAGACTCACTTGGGCTAGGCCCGGGGGTGCGA